CTGCAGTTCAGTCCACTGATATGGCCTCCTTACACATATACCCATGCATATGTAGTGTAGTTCCTTGCTTGCGAGTACTTTGGATGAGTACTCACGGTTGCTTTCTCCCCCCTTTTTCCCCTTTTCCTTTCTTTCTGGTTGTCACAACCAGATGCTAGAGTTCAGGAGCCAGACGCCACCGTCGACGACGACCCCTACTACACCGGAGGTGCCCCTACTACGTGCAGCCCGCTGACGACGTCCAGGAGTAGTTAGGAGGATCCCAGGCAGGAGGCCTGCACCTCTTTCGATCTGTATCCCAGTTTGTGCTAGCCTTCTTAAGGCACACTTGTTTAACTTATGTCTGTACTCAGATAATGTTGCTTCCGCTGACTCGTCTATGATCGAGCACTTGTATTCGAGCCCTCGAGGCCCCTGGCTTGTATTATGATGCTTGTATGACTTATTTTATTTGTAGAGTTGTGTTGTGATATCTTCCCGTGAGTCCCTGATCTTGATCGTACACATTTGCGTGCATGATTAGTGTACGATTGAATCGGGGGCGTCACAATATAACACAGCCGTGGAAGCACTGAACACATCGGAGAAGAGGAGTCGAATCGCCGCCTCCGTCAACCGATGGCCGGAGCAGTAGCGCCGCTTACCTCGTCGGCGATGTGGCTCTGCGCCGAAGGGAAAGCTCAAGGAGGGGGAAATGGTGACGAGAGTTTTGTCGCTGCAGTGGGGCTGGCTATATAGGGCGACCAAATCCGCGGGCGGGTACGCCAATTCGCCCCGCCGCTCTTCTGGAGACACACGCGAGCTACCGACATCTCTGTGGGCGCAAGAGGTGAGTAATGTGTTCCTTACAGGCCTGTTAACTCCAAGCTATCAGGTATTGCCTCGGTTGCCTAAACCCGATGAGCATTTTCAAATTCCTGAACAAATAGTGCAGCAAAAGGTGGTTTGTAAGGGCTCCGGGTCTCTTGTCCAAGTGCTTGTTAAATGGAGTGCTACCACGATGGACATGGCTACCTGGGAAGATAAGGTGACTTTGCAGCAAAAGTTCGCGAGAGCACTGGCTTGGGGGCAAGCCGTTTCTAAGGAGGGTGGGATTGTCAGTGAACCTGAGATGGGCCAAGGATCAGTGGAGGAGACAGGTAGGCCGAAGAGGTAGCCTTGCCTTCCGACTGGGCCAGAATGGGCTTAAAGCAGTCTAGTACTTATACTCTCGTGCACTTCTGTAATAGGCGGCAAAGAGGAAAACGGCGAGTAGATGGCATGTGCGGTGTGAGCTCGTGCGAGATCCCCAACTCTGTAAATCCTCCATTGTAGCTCAATTCCATGGCCATGGCCGAATACAAACCCTAGTCCTCATGAGTGAGGTTCATGTGGGCCAAGATTCTGGTCTTCCTTCCGCACGGCCTGTCCGAACCTAATGCGATCAACACACGCTTCCTAAACAAACTATAAAAATTTAGCTGAGGGTCCAACTATGGAAAAGGCATCCATTTCTTTAATTTTTTCCCTATTGTAAACATTTGTTTCATTTCACTTCCACTATATCTCTCTATCAGAATTTCTGTGTACCATGGCACCTCGCACTGCATTTTCCCCATTCCTAGATATTAAAACCTAAGATATTGCTCACTCTCGGTGGTCCCAGGCAACCAAGTCCGTCAAGCAAGCAGAATAAAGGGCCTAAATTGCTGTGGATTTAGCCAGGACCAATAAGCAGTCTCAACTTCAATATTTTTACGATTAGCTACTCCACAGAAGTCCCCTCAAAAAAAAAAAAGCTACTCCACAGAAGTGAACATGGCTCGAGCGCTCAGGTAGTCACATCTATGCAACATCAACGATAATGATTTGCTCACCCATATTAGTTAACAATGACTATTTTTTTATCTAATCACGCAGTACCATACTCGCAATGCTTAAAGCTCGCTGATAAACACGTCAATCACTAGCAAGGATAGGGTGACAAAATCATGCTACATAATACAGGCAGAAAGATGTTCATGGTTCCTCCACGCAGGCCATGGAAATGTTCTCAGAACAGAGCTGATGTAGCCTCAGTGACTTCAGTTACAACCTGCTTGTATTCCGATTCCAGTTTCTCCTTCACCTCTTCAGTGATCTCCCCCTTGGCTGGCTTGGTCATCACCAAAACGCAGCAGGTAGGCCTCTTGGTGGTCCCCGCGGTCGCAAGCTCCTGCACAGGGAGGTAGCCACAGTACATTAGCTTATAATCTTACAATCTCAAAGGCCACATCATCATTTTCTCTACTGCACTACCATACTTGCTGTTATTCCTTCTACTACTTTTGTGGTGATAAGAAGGCAAATAACTGGTAGCTAATACTGTGCATTTTACTTTGATAATGGACTTGTATGAAAAGCCAAATGTGTTAAGTTTCTTAACAACAGGCTTGGAACTGTTTCACGCTTGCATGTAACATGGGTCACGTAGAGGCACAAGACAGACTTTTCAAGGAAACCGTAGGACCAATGAGTAGGGACACACAAGAAACTTAATTCCGGTTTCATTTCAAGGAAAAAGCAAAATGAGAGACCACAAGTGCTGTGGCAAATGGGTAACAAAAATGGACCAACATACAAACCCAATGAAGAACCCTATGCTGTCAAGACCTGCCAGCAACCATCTTGGTCTGCCAAAACTTAGAGTAGGCCATAGAGAAGATTAATGAGATAGGACCAAGTAAGGTACTAAGGCAGTTGTATCTAAGTTTGCAAAAGGATTTTAAAGGGTGTGCCTGGAAAGAACAATAAAAGCAAATGACAAGACAACCATCTGGTGCTCCTTAGTTGTTATGCGCCCAGGAAACATTTTTTTTGCCTTGTTCACTCACGTTATATTTTGCTGTACACGAGGGTATATATTTAAAGTGAAATATACAAGTTTCTTTCACATCAAGCCTGTAAATGATTTATTTGGCCTGTGACATGGTCTCTTATATTATGGGACGGAGGGAGTAGTTCAATACTCCCTCCAATCCAAATTAATTGACGCTGCTTTAGTACAGCTTTGTACTAAAGTTATACTAAAGCAGTGTCAATTAATATGAATCGAAGGGAGTACATACTTCTGAAGGAAAACATGCATGCTATCTCAAATGATAAAGCATGCCGAGGCAATTGGGTGACTCAAATTATCAAACATTAACCTAATACAGAACATCTGGTTCAGACTGATAAGCTGGTAAAAGCGACCATCTTAGGTCTCTATTTTGACTCCAACAAAACTGAAGGTGGAACACAAGATTTATTCGAACATAAAGACTGTCTGATGCTACTTCAGCTATAGTTTAGTGGACAAAAAAAGTAATCAGATGCTTCTTTTCTCATTAGCTCCAGCACAGCTAACTGAATAAAACACTTGAAATGCAAATGACAAGACAACTGTGCGGTGCTCCTTCAATGTGATGTGCCCAGAGAGGGAAACATTGCTGCTAGCTATGAGAGAGACAGAAGAGTGCTTTCTTTCAATGTTCAAGCAATTAGTTGATGGAGAGGATCTGATTACTACATAACCTATATGTGAAAGATCCAAACAAATGAAGAAAATTGTGCCTAGGTTGCACCACCTTATTGACTGGGTCATCATAGCATGAACCATCAACTTGTCAAGATTTTAGCTTGTTGGAGGTTATAAGGAGACAATCACTGCGAATGCGTGATAAGATACAACTCTCTGATTGCAACAAACTAAACATAAAGATTTGAGTGAAAATGCAGCATACCTCTTTTGAGCTCACATATATGTATGGGACATTGGCTTCCTCACAAAGTATGGGAAGATGTGTAATCACATCGATAGGAGAGATGTTTCCAGCAATTACACACAACCTGCATGAAACAGAACCACATATGTCAATGACATTATGCAAGTCAAGCCACTGAATGACTGAGGATGCATAAAAACACAGCAACACTATCGATCTCAATCATAACATAAATAAGCACACCCCACAGTTATTAGCTTCATATACAGTGGCAACTGGACAGTTCCATCATCAACAAGAATAGCACACTAAATCATTCAGCATGTATGCAATCATAACAATGGATGTTTTATATGACACATAGTGTGCACTATGCACTGCACTGCTAGACACAACTGGCAAGCAAGTCAAACAAATCCATGACATATTTCAGGGAAAGTTATCTGCCCTTTGTTGATTGCTATTACCAAGTATCACCCGCACCACACTTAGTAACAAGTTTCTGACAGAGGAATTAAGCCCAGAGCTCTCTAGGACAAGACCATACTAGTGTGCTAATTACCAAGCAAGAACTACACAGTACTACTAACGAGAAGAAGTAGAAATACCAACCCTTTGCTCCCACGACGGATGCTCTTGACCACCTCCTTGACCCCGCGCTTCAGGCACTTGGCCTCCGAGGCTGCAAAACACGCAGACAACATCCCACATCAACGACTGAACCAATGAAAAATTTGATTTGGGCCAAAAAAAGGGAGCGGGGAAAATCTCACGAACCTCGGCGAACGAGCTTGAGGGTTTTCTTGGAGAGCTTCTTGCCGGCGAGCGGCTTGGCGATGGGCGCCAGCGCCACCGGGGTCTTCTTCTTCTCCGTCTCCGTGTCGCTCCCCATCGCCGCTGCTGCTGTCGCCGCCGCCGCCGCCGCCTTGGTGAGTTCGCGGGTTTTAGGTGGGTGGTGGTGGAGCTAGGGTTTTAGGAGAGGACTCGGCACGCCAAGCCGCTCGCTATTAAAAGGGGCTTTGGGCCGGTGCCTCCGCTAGTCCCTGGACTGCGGGCCCGGATAGAATCAGGCCCACCCGTCAGAAAATGCTCGTGGGCAGTTGAGCCCGGTAGAAAGAAACCCATTGAGACGCCCAAACCCTACCGCGCCTCGCAGCTCCCGCCTCCCGGACGCCGACACCCAGCAGCCGCCGCCGGCGCCGACGAGGGCTTATTCGCCACCGATTCTCTTCGTGTTCTTCCTCGTGGACGCTTCGTTGCTGATTTGTTCTCGGCATGGGCAAATCCAAAGGTGCGGAAATTTTCCCCTTTATGCACGCACACTGTTGCTTCTCGATTGAATTTGTTCGAATTTGGGAGGCCAAAGTAAAAAAAATGTGCTGTTTTGTAGACAAGAAGGTTTCGCGGGAAGCCAAGGTTGATAAGAAGCTGGCGCTTGGGCTTGGAGTGAAGAGGAAGCAGCTGAAGAAGAAGAAGGATAGAGTTTTAGATGCTGCCGTTGAGAGCGAGGGCGCTGCCGGACATGCTATCGCGGAAGGTATTGACAATCTCTTCCATTTTGTTTTGGATAATTAAGGGTTAAGCTCATCCTAGAGTGAAGTTTGTATGCTTAAAATTGTCGATTCATCGCCCCAGCAAAGGGTAAGAGAATGATTCAGTGGTACGTCGTCAATCACGGTTGTAGAAACATAGAATGGTAGGACAGAAAAGATATTCTGATAACCTTCGAACTCATCGGTGTCTCATGTGTACGGCAAAATAGCATGAGGACCGTCTCATTTCCTGAGCGCTTGTTAATTTTTTGGTTCTTTGAGTTGTTTATTAGGCCCTACTTGTCACTGACAACAATTGTGAAAGCGTGAAATGGAACTATATCTTGTAGTATAATGGTTTATCTCTTATCTTTGCTTCTTAGATATAGGAAGCAAGAAGATTGTATTGGTGAAGCAAAAGAAGAAAATTAAGCATGCCAAAGTAACAAGCTGTTGTACCAAGGCTCATAATTTGGTGACTCTCAATGAGGATGAGGCAACACCTAAGCTGAAGAAGAAGAATAAGAGCAAAAAACAGCTAAAGGAAAGCAAAAGTCCTGTTGAGGTACAAAGTCCATTGGACAGTAATGATACTGGAACACTTAAGCTGAAGAAGAAGAAAATGAAGGTGAAGGAAGGGAAGAGCTCTGTTGAGCCCAATGATGCAGATGATATCCTGCATGAAAATCTAGATGAAGAAACTCTAAACGGTAAGATTGCTTCTGAGTAGGTACTTTGTCTGCTGTGCTACCTTTCAATCATGATGAGTAATGTTGATATTTTCACATTTGTTCTTGACAAATAGTTTTTCATCCGTGCAATTTCCATTTTTATCGTTCAATAGTAATTCCTGAAATTTTCTTTTCACTAATAATAGATGTGCATATATTTTATGCAGCTGATGTCAACCAACTTGCAGCAGAGAGTGAAGTTATGGATATTGGGGAACCAGAAAAGGCAAAGAAACGAAAGAAAAATAAGACAGGTAGGCTGTTGTACTTGTATCCTAAACAAAGTTTTTCTCAATTACCAGCTATCTGTTACATAAATATTTTTGTTTCACTAATAGTAGATGTACATATAATTTATGCAGCTGATGTCAAACAAGTTGCAGAAGAGAGTGAAGTTATGGACATTGGGGAACCAGAAAAGGCAAAGAAACGAAAGAAAAATAAGACAAGTAGGCTGCTGTACTTTTATCCTAAACAAAGTTTTTCTCAATTAGCAGCTATCTATTGCATAAATATTTGTGTTTCCTGACATGCATTCTTTTCATTGGACGCAGAGAAAGTAAAGCAATCTGGGGAAGTCAACAGGACTGATATGCAGGTATCAGTTAGAGAGGACAATTTGGAGGAGCATGAAGTTGATACCGCAGATGTTGATGAGATTGCATCAGTCGATGAAGACTGTTCCAGAGGAATGAAAAGTAATGTCTACACTTCCGGTTTTTATTGCCGAAAAGATATATATTTTCACTAGCATATATAAAGATCCACTGTCTAGTGTCGACAGTGAAAAAGACAGAATTTACTGTATCCAAATACACTCCCAAAGAATATCATTTCTTAGACTTGTTTAAATCAAAAGATTCATGCGAGCTGATTTGATCATGCAACTGACAGATCTATAAGTCTTAACTTGTTACAATCAGCCTAAATGTTAATCATATGCAGTGCAGACTGTAAGGGTCCCTATTAGTTGATATTGTGCTCAAATGAGTTCCACAGTGTTTATTTATCTTTCCTTTTTATACTGGAACCTGCAAATTGATCCACCAAAGTCCAAAATGGCAAATACTGATACGTGGTGTGACTGGTGTCTTGTCAGAATGGATCTTGGAGTACAGACAGAAACGGCCAGGCTTGAAAGTCTTGCAGCAAAATATAGATGTGTTTATAACTGCACATGAGGAACAACAAGAGCGGGTGCGTATCTTCCTCATTAAACATTGAAGAATGTAGTCAAGTGTTCTGATTTATAGCTAGCTTGTTCCGTAAATATTCATTGAATATCTGAAGTTATTGTGCAAGTTAAGACAAGTTATTTATGTACTGCCACCATACGAAGTCGTCCCCTTTCTGCCATTTATTACAGGAAGAAGTTTGTTTTGGCATAGCAACTGCATCATTGTTGGTTTGTCATGTGGTACCTATTTGATTAATTCAGGAGAAGAAGGAAAGAGAGGCAGCAGCTGCAGAAGATGGGTGGACAGTTGTGATGCATCATAAAGGTAGGAAGAAGACTACAGATGTTGAAACTGGAACAGCGGTTGGCTCTGTATCTCTGGCTGCAATGCAAGAGAAAATGGCTCAGAAGAAACCCAAGGAAGTTGGCCGGAACTTCTACAGACATCAGAAACGAGAAGCTCAAATGAGTGGTATGTCAAAAAGCATTTTTTATGGATTTCCTATTTAACCATTGGTGCAGTTTAACTTTAGTTACTCCTAATGCTCAGTACATGTATGATGCTAGAATCTAGACTATGTTCAGAGATGTAGTTTGCCATGCCAGTCTTGTGACTTTCTGTTTAGTGTAGTCTGTTCTGGTTTTGAGAAAATACAATGCCCAAGTCATTGTCCCTTGATCTTGTATTCAGTGTCATGTGAATCTCGCATACACCGGATGTTATTTTGTGTAGTAAAGAGACTGTTTTGGTTTATTCCAGCCCTTATAAACAGATGCTCCTTTTTTGCCATATCAAGTTGATATTCTTCCATCATACTCCCTCCGTTCCTAAATATTTGTCTTTCTAGAGATATCAACAAGTGACTACATACGAAGCAAAATGAGTGAATCTAGACTCTAAAATATGTCTATATACATCCGTATGTAGTCACTTGTTGAAATCTCTAGAAAGACAAATATTTAGGAACGGAGGGAGTATTTTCCAACATGAAATCTGCTACAAGTTGCATGCAACGCAGTGCATCTTTATGCAACTTGAGTGTGGCTGCAGATAACTGCTGGGAGAGCTACTGACCTGTATTTGTTGTGCAGAGCTGGCGATGCTGCAGAGCAAGTTCGAGCAGGACAAGAAGAGGATACAGCAGCTGCGGGCTCAAAGGAAATTCAAGCCTTACGGATTTTGAAGGGGGCTCCTCCATGGAGAGGCAGTGTTCGTTCCACATCACTCGAGACCAGCCGTCGCTGGAGTGCTGGCTTGGTTGCTATGTTGAACGTGCACTGTATTCCTTTTTTTGACAGAAAATGTCGCATCGTTGGACAAATGTACCATGCTTCTTGACTGGGAACGGTGCCAGTTGTGTACAATGGTTTGAACATTTGCAGCAAGTGTATTATTGGTTATCTGGCCCATTTTGTGGATCAATTCTTGTGCTGTTGAGCTGAAAGGTGGTCGATGAGGCAGTCGCTTAGGTTTCGCCTTCCTGGGGATTATGATGTCTCGTCAGTCGGCACCCATGCCGTGTCTCTTGCGATTTAATGCAAGCGTACCGGTCAATTATTTCTTTTCTTTTTTAACAGAAAAATCAGGCGCTCTACTCATTTCATTAACAGAAAAATTGCTTGGGTTCATGGAGGATAGGTCGGAATCGACTGAAGACGGCAACCCGTTTGCCACCGATGTGAGTATTTGATTTCTAATTTCTAGGGTTAGGGGTAGCTGCATTTGGGGATTTCGATTTTGATCTAGTTTCCATCTAATTTTTCACGTATTTTTGTATCTTTGTTTTGTTAGAGCCCCAATACCATGTATGCCTTCGATTCATATTCCCAAGATTTTTTCACCAACAACTTGTTACTCTTGGAGCTTGGGCTCCTAGGTAATTAGGGTCCTACAGGAGTTTTTTTGCTTGTGGTGCGCCACGGAGACGTACGTAAAGGTGTGGTGTTTGTGTTTGATAGCTTGATATTTTTTCACTTCTATAAGAGGGGTTCGATGTGATTTTTACAAGGTTTTCGATATTTCTCGTGTCTTTCTAACGCCAATCCTTCGAGAACGAAGAGAAGTGTTTTTATCGTTAAGTGTGCATAAATAGATATATTTGGAAGGAAACCAATCAATATTCTGTCAAATAAAGCCATTTGGAGCAATTTATCTTTTGGGCGAAAATGCAACAGAGTGTTCAAAGCGCAAGACGACGCATGGTAAGAGCGCCATCGACAAGTCATACCTTGTGGTGGCAACACCATTTCATGAACCAAAGCAACTTTCGTGAAGACAGAGAGACGTCGCGACACCAACTAGAACAGAGAGAGAAGAGATCCAGAGAAGAACCACCGAAGATCCATTCCTTCTCTTCCACCCATTTTCATTCCCATTTTATCGCAACACCACCATAGAGAGAGGAATTCTAAGTTGTAAGATTAGGGTTTGTAACTCTATTCATACTCATCTTGAGATCGAGACTTCTTTAATCATTCATCTTATTACGGATCTTTGTGGTATTATTGAGATGATTTTGCTTTGTTTGATCTCCAAGATGTTTGGTTATTCCTCTCTCGTGTGAGAGTAATTCTCCCTAGGCTTGGGAGACATGGGGGATTGGTGAGATTCATTTGTGCATACTCTATATGCCATCGTTTGTGATTACAATACTATGATTTTTCAGTAAGTTGTTTATCTGTGATGCACGTAATGCGTGTTGTCCAATTTAAGGGCCCAAGCAACATGATTGGAAGACCTACACAAATAACACATTGTTTAGTGAATCTGTGACCAATGGAACATAATATATTGATCCGGTCTTAGACCTTAATTGTGAAAACAACTATGTAATGACAACGTCGAAGCAAGACTGTCGAGGAGAATGAATCCGACGTGAAAGAGCTCAACTACTCAAGGGTGATCCGCCTACCAAACAAACAACATGTGCACTAGAATCACAATACAAGGTAACTACTATTAACGTCGCACTAGCACACTTGATATACACCATGATTCGAAGTTTCTTCGTGCCTAATCTCTCTATTGCACATACCAACCTTTTACTTTCAGTTGTGTATTTTATGTTATTTACTTTTAAGTTTTTTATTATTCTCGCTGCAACTACCAACTATTTCACCACACTGATATATTTCTTTCATGCTATAGTAATACCATCTGCAGATTTTCAGACAGTTACTTCACACAAGACTGGTGACAACTTGTATGTGACCGAAACGCCCCTCATAATACTCTCATCCGTTCTTCGTTGGGAATGATAACTATTGAGATACTTACACCAAGATGCTACGTTACCCTGTGTGTCTTGCAGGCCATCAACCTTCAAGACCAACCCTGAGTGATCTAAGACTCATTACTTGGGGTGACTCGAGGAGAACATGGTGAGCCATTTGGTGGCATTCCGGAGCCTTGACACCGCTCCAACAAAGATTAGCACTTCCCCAAGAAAGTTTGAACTTCGGGACAAAATCCACGTCCCCGACTCACTTGTGGTTAACCCTTTGCACACTTTACTTTTCTTTGTATGCTTGTTGGCTTGCTAATTATATTGTTGCCTAGTTTACTTTGCTTTGAGCTTACTTGTCATATAGGTTGTGTTCATCTAGTTGAATATGTAGAAAACCTACTTTATCCATAAATCCCCAAAATTGGTAATTAAGCTTAATATTTGCAGTCCTCTATTCGCCCCCTCCCTCTAGTAAACCGTATCGATCGTTTCACGTGCTCTCCCCTGACTCATCGCCGTCATCGCCGCCACATTTTCGCCATGGGTTCATTAGGGGATGGGCCGAAATCGTCTGAACAAGCCAACCTGTTTGGCAGCGATGTGAGTATTTGATTTCTCATTTCTAGGGTTAAGGGTAGCTGTGATTTGGGGATTTCAAATTTCATCTAGTTTGCTTCTGATTTGTCACATAATTGTGATTTTTTATCCCCAAGACCATGTATGCCTTCATTTTTTGTGGACTATCCGACGGAGAAGTACCCCCCCTCCCTGGTTGCCATCACCGAGCCATAACCACCAAATTTGTAGCCCTTTGAAGGATGGCACACATGTTGGGGAACGTAGTAATTCAAAAAAATTCCTATGATCACGCAAGATCTATCTACGAGATGCAAAACAACAAGACGGGAGAGTGTGTCCACGTACCCTCTTAGACCGAAAGCGGAAGCGTTTAGCAACGCGGTTGATGTAGTCGAACGTCTTCAAGATCCAACCGATCCAAGTACCGAACATACGGCACCTCCGTGTTCAGCACACGTTCAACACGATGACGTCCCTCGAGCTCTTGATCCAGTAGAGGGTCGAGGGAGAGTTCCGTCAGCACGACGGCGTGGCGACGGTGTTTATGATGTTACCGACGTAGGGCTTCGCCTAAGCGCTACAACGATATGACCGAGATGTTAAACTGTGGAGGGGGTCACCGCACACGGCTAAGAGAACAAATGTTGTGCTTTGGGGTGCCCCTGCCCCCGTATATAGAGGAGGGAGGGAGGAGGCCGACCACCAGGGGGCGCGCCATGGAGGGGAGTCCTACTAGGAATCCAAACCTAGTAGGATTTGCCCCCCCCCCCCACTTTTCCTTTTTTTGGAGAGTCAAAGAGGGAAAGTGAGAGGGAGTAGGAGATGGAAAGCGGGCGCCACCCCCTCCCCTAGTCCAATTCGGACTGTCCATGTGGGGGGTGGCTCCCCTTGTGGGATCCCCTCTCTCTGTTGGGGAACGTTGCAGAAAATAAAAAAATTTCTACAGTTTGACCAAGATCAATCTATGAGTTCATCTAGCAACGAGAGAGAGGAGTGCATCTACATACCCTTATAGATCGAGCGGAAGTGTTCAAGAGAACGGGGTTGAGGGAGTCGTACTCGTCGTGATCCAAATCACCGGAGATCCTAGCGCCGAACGGACGGCACCTCCGCGTTCAACACACGTACGGTCAGCATGACGTCTCCTCCTTCTTGATCCAACAAGGGGGAAGGAGAGGTTGATGAAGATCCAGCAGCAGGACGACGTGGTGGTGGATGCAGCAGAGATCCCGGCAGGGCTTCGCCAAGCGTCTGTGGGAGGGAGAGGTGTAGCAAGGGGGAAGGGAGGCGCCAAGTGCAAGGGTGCGGCTGCCCTCCCTCCCCCCTCTATATATAGGGTCCCCAGGGGGGGCGCCGGCCCTAGGAGATGGGATCTCCTAGGGGGGGGGGCAAGGGGGGTGCCTTGCCCCCCAAGGCAAGTGGAGGCGCCCCCTCCCCTAGGGTTCCAAACCCTAGGCGCAGGGGGCCCAAGGAGGGGCACACCAGCCCACCAGGGGCTGGTTCCCCTCCCACTTCAGCCCATGGGGCCCTTCGGGATGGGTGGCCCCACCCGGTGGACCCCCGGGACCCTTCCGGTGGTCCCGGTACAATGCCGGTGACCCCCGAAACTTTCCCGATGGCCGAAACTCGACTTCCCATATATAATTCTTTACCCCCGGACCATTCCGGAACTCCTTGTGATGTCCGGGATCTCATCCGGGACTCCGAACAACTTTCGGTTTGCTGCATACTAATATCTCTACAACCCTAGCGTCATCGAACCTTAAGTGTGTAGACCCTACGAGTTCGGGAGACACGTAGACATGACCGAGACGGCTCTCCGGTCAATAACCAACATCGGGATCTGGATACCCATGTTGGCTCCCACATTCTCCTCGATGATCTCATCGGATGAACCACGATGTCGAGGATTCAAGCAACCCAGTATACAATTCCCTTTGTCAATCAGTATGTTACTTGCCCGAGATTCGATCGTCGGTGTCCTAATACCTCGTTCAATCTCGTTACCGGCAAGTCACTTTACTCGTACCGTAATGCATGATCCCGTGACTAGACACTTGGTCACTTTGAGCTCATTATGATGATGCATTACCGAGTGGGCCCAGAGATACCTCTCCGTCATACGGAGTGACAAATCTCAGTCTCGATCCGTGTCAACCCAACAGATACTTTCGGAGATACCCGTAGTATACCTTTATAGTCACCCAGTTATGTTGTGACGTTTGGTACACCCAAAGCACTCCTACGGCATCCGGGAGTTACACGATCTCATGGTCTAAGGAAAAGATACTTGACATTGGAAAAGCTCTAGCAAACAAACTACACGATCTTGTGCTATGCTTAGGATTGGGTCTTGTCCATCACATCATTCACCTAAT